TCTTTGCAGAATCTGTTGGTTGCTGCTGTGAAATCTGTTAGCCTGTTAGACACAGAAACCCACAGGAAGAAGGTGTTCACCTGTGACTGAAAATGGACCCCTGCCCTACTTTAATTCATAATGCTGAATTTGCTTCTGTCCCATATGACTCTTACACCCAACCCTACCTTGGTTTCAGAGGTGACAGCAATGAAAGCAAATCTTTCTGACTGAGTGGCTGCAGGGCATTTAATTTTTGGGTGATGCATGCCACATCAAGAATGCCATTGACATTCAGGCAATTAAAAATACATAAATTAGGAGATTAGCCCAACAATTAGGTGCAGTGAATATCTTCCAGACGATCTTTTCTTCCTGCAGCATGCAGATCTGTTCATTTCGTGGGTAGGTGTGTCTTTTTCTTCCACATCTGTTGAAGTTCTGATGCCAGGTATTTAATTACAACAAAGCATGCAACTTGAGATCCTTCTTCAATATATAAGGCAAAGAATTATGTTAATGGGTATGTGAAACCAGCAGGGCCGAGTGGATCAAACGTTTCTCTGGAAGAGATGTGTGGCATATTGTCATCCTCAGTGCCTTTGTTGCTTTAAGTGCCCCCTATGCCAAATCAGCTTGTTCCCTCAGTGTCCCCATCTGAAGGTAGAGGAAAACAGGAAGAATGAGGAAAGCATTCACAGCTTTGGCTTATTGAGGTTGATGTTCCTAATGTGTGTAACAGGTGGTCAGGCCATTGTAAGTCTAATTTCTTAGTACCCTCATTCATATGTGTATCGGTGAGTAGTCCAGGCTGCTGGACCCCATGAGTGCCAAAGCCAAAAGGACCTGGCTAGTGTGCACTTACTTCCTTTATGTTTTATCCTGTGACACTTACTCCCTGGATCACACCTCCTACTCCAAGCATCCTCTCAGGGGTAAATACTGATGTTTTTGCCCACATCTCAGGCAGTGGTGGCTCACGCTTCATGTTCTTGTGATTCTTCATAATTATACCTTGTTTGTGGTTAGCTGGTTTCTTGTGTAACCCCTTGAGGGATGATGTGCCTAGAAAGCACAAACATAGGCTTTGCAAAGGGAATTTTTAACTACCTTTGCTTCATTGCTGTACAGCACTTCAGAGTTGGTGATCTTTGCAAAATACCCAGAGTCCTTAGATGCAAATGCACTTCCCTAGTCTTGCTCCCTTGGCAGTCTGAAAGCATCCCTGCGCACCAAACCTTGCAGCCTGTCCAGCCATCACGCAGCAAGATCTTTTTGGACATAGACACTCCCCTCCAGCTGCCTCAGAAATCCTCCTCCACATACCATCTCTCTCCTCTTCCACATATGCCTGCGCTGAACAGCTGGAGCTCATTCTTGCACCCAGCTTTTGGGTAGAGAACTGATGGGTGGTTTCTTGACTTAAGGCAGCAGATGTTGTTCCACAAGCAGATGTGACTGTTCAGCGCCTTTCTCCTTGTGTTCGCTCATAGTGATAATTATGATGTTAGAACTTTTCCTGGAGCTGATAATAACTTCAGATGAAGTTCATGGAGAGGCTGCATTGTGTCCACTGACTTCCAAACACAAAGTACAAATTGGTAGGCAGGTGCCCATGCACAAATTCAGAAGGTGGAGAGGAGTTTTAACTCTTAGTGCAAACTCATCCCGCTCTGTCACACAGCAAGCTCTGTACCAGACCCCCACTACCTGACAGAGTCAGTACCAAGAAATTGCATGTCCCTAATTAACCAATTCAATTGATATCACTGATACTAAGAAAGAAGGAATTTCCTGACTTGATGGTGTGAAAGCCCTGCAGTTTCAGCAAGCTGTTTCAGTGCTCTTTGTTGCTAGAGCACAGGAAAAAGGCAAAACCCCAGCCAGAATCAGTGTGATCCTGTTTTGTCTATCAAGGGCTCCTGTGATCGCAGAGCATATTTCTCACCCTGCTCAACATTTTTTTCAGGAAGAGCTGACATAAGTTGGCAAGGACAGCAAGCAGCCCCTCCTTCTCACTCCTTCTCCAGCCGGTGTCAGGAGCAAATTCAAGGACTCTTTGATAAAGTGAACCAAGATATGATCACAGCAAACCCCTGGTGCTGTTTTGCATTCTTCCCCACGGTGTGAACTGTAAGCTGCTGTGTCAGGCAAAGCAAAGCCCATCCCTCATGAAAGCTGAACATGTCGCTAAAGCAGATCTATAAGGCTTCCTCCTTTCACTGATGTAACTACGTTTTACTTTGGTCCTCCAAGGTAATAAGAGAGCTGGTTGAGTACATAATCCATCAGCCTTTGGGGTATAGTTAAATACACTATGGTACCAACGTTAAAGTGGCGATTGGTGTCTAAAACTCAGAGAGGATTTGGTGGAAGCAGAAAGCAGAAAGTCCTTCTGGGAGCGGGTGTACCACACGGTGAGCTATCGCACAAGGCATAGTGAGCAGCGTGCATGATGCACGCGTGAGTGCCTGTCATTTAATGGATGACTGCACAGAAATCTTTCCTGCGATATTAGATGGATGTCCCCTATGCCTCCAGCCCAAAATTCTGGTAGTTTTTCCTTTTTTCGTTTTACACCATGGGAAGATGCCTCTTTCCATTATAATTTGCCTTATGCTGACACCTCTTTCTGCCACATTAAACATGAAGTCTCCTTTTACTCAAGACCTCTTTCAATTCAAGGACAAGCAGAGAGGCAGAGAGAGAGATTAGAGAAAAGGCATAGAGAAAGAACAGGGGGATATTTTTATTTTTTTGTTGAAGACAATTAGTTTCAGCAGGATGAAACATATTTTATGATGAGAAGCAAGAGTTGCCCATCTAAGGGTCATTCCAGTCCTGTGTTTTTTTGTGTGTTCATTGTAATGAGCTGGCTGGAAATACAGTGTTCACAAAAGATATAAATAAAGATGTGACTCAGTCTCAGTCTCTGGCCCACCTCAGCTCATAAGCTTCCTGCATGTGGAGGCAGCTGATGGATTTATCATGGGGCTAAAGCAGGACCCAGTACGCTGTCAGCGCCGAACACAGAGGGCTTGTTTTCAAGCAGGAGTTCAACCCCACACTACCATGGCAGCGCTCTGACTGGTGTGGTCATCCCTTTCTACTTTTGAGAGAATGAGAAAGGATGCAAAAACATGGTCTACATCTCACCCATGATACAATCAAAGGCTGGGCAGGACAGTAACAAATCCTCAGCCTGCTCCCCTGCATCACACATCCCAAAACAAATCATCATCTGGATTTCAGCATCAGATTTTGGTTGAGATTTTCAGTATTTCTCATCAAATCTTATTATTTAACCTCAGAAATAACCTTCCCCTTCACCTCTGAAAGTTAGGTACTTGAGTGGCTTCAGAGAACAGGGGGTCTCTTGGTCCTCTGATTGGGGAAATTGCAGCAGTAATTGTTTTCAGGGTGAAAATGTTCATATGTGGTTCCTGATCAGGACAGGCTTTTCTTACATTTAATAGGAGGAAGGAAAGTGGAGGGTGGAGGTACGTGGATAGATGGACAAAATCACCTTCTGGAAGGAAGCAGAACATTAAATTTTTGTGCAACAGAAGGAAAGAAAAAGACATTTTACAGCCTTGATGTAGCTCAGTGGAAGCTGCCCTCAGCCTTCAGCATTCACTGAGACGCTAGATGAATCTTGCAACCATGTCTCCAGAACCTGCAGAAAAAGAAAAAGTTAATGTAATTATGCAATAGGCAACATCAGCTGTGGATTGATTTTCCTGTGGTACCAGTGGAACTCTTTCAGGACTTGGGTTGTGCCCATCACAGCAGAAATTCCCCTGTAGCCGAGGTGCTGCTGGGCTGAGGACAAGGGGAACCTCACTACCCTGTATGGTCCTGGATGCTTTTGTGGAGCAACTCACTGGCCTGGGTGTCTCCATAACAGACAGGCAGTGGACAAGTGTGGTATTAACACAGGACCTTCTCTCTTAGGGCAACAAATTGAGCCATGTGGGCCTGCCCTGTGCAGGTACAAGTGAGTTTGTGTCTGCAGTATGGATGCCCTTGAAAATGGGGCTGTGCAGAGGCTCATCTCTGCACAGAGGACTACGGCCACCACAGGGCAGCCCCAGATTGTGTGGGATGTGTTTATATTGCAGCAGTTCTCAGAAGCCATCTGTGCAGGCAGTGCTGCCCCATGCTGACACTTCACCAGTATGAGCTCCTGACCCTTCATAGGAGATCTGCCAGCAAAGTGTTTCCCTTCACCCCATTTCTTCCAACCCCACTTCCCTGAGCTTGACTGGAGCTCGTCACTGCTTTGAGCCACTGACATAAGTGAAGGAGGGTAGGTTGGGGACCAGTAAGAGACCTGCTCATCCCTCTGATTATCTGCCTGGTCATCCACTTGTCCTAGGATAGGGCAAGGAGCTGCTAGCCCACCCACTTTGCCTTCCCCCATGCTGCTCTGACAAATTTGCATCCATGAGAACCCTAATCGGTTTAGGACAGTTGCGTTCCAGCATAGCAGGTCTGGTTGGGTGGGTGCTCTTGCACGATGCAGCTTCTTTGAAGGGCTTGAATTCTGGGGTTAGCCACGGATTTCCATGCTGGGAGGGTGCTGGGCTGGCCCTGGTGAAGTGAGTTTAGGGCCAGCAGGTGTGAGGGAGGTCCAGCCCACCATCGTCCCGGGGAGGCAATGGAGGGCAAAAATACCCCTGACCCTGCGCCTGCCGCTCGGGGTGTGTCGTCCTGGGCATCCGGAGCGACCCGGGGCGGGGATGGGTCGGGAGAGTCTCTGCGTGCCCCCACCTGTCGCTCCAGCGGTGGCACATCTGGGCGGCGGGCAGGCGGTGCTTCCCCGGGGCGGCACATCTGTCTCCATGGCAACGGGGCGCGGCGGGGGGGCCGCGGAGCCACCGCCCCGCCCCGCCGCTCCGAGCGGCCGCGGAGCCAGCGCAGGGCGGCGGCGGCGGTGCGGGCAGGGGCCCGGCGGGCGGCACCGCGGCTCTCGCAGCCCTCGGAGCGAGCGCAGCCCGCCGCCCTCGCCGCCGCAGCGCCCCCGCACAGACCCCGCGCGGTGCCGCCCGGCCCGGCCCGGCTCGGATGCCGCCATGGGGAGCCGCTTCTCCAGCATCCCCGCGCTGCCCCGCGGCGGCCAGGGCCGCCTGCACCGCGCCCGCCACCACCGCCTCAAAGGTACGGCTCGGTCGGCGCCCCCGGCACCGCGGGCACCTCCGGCATCCCCGGCACCCTGAGCGTCCCCGTCAAGACGAGCACCCGCGATATCCCCGGGCATCTGAGGCGCCCGTGCAGCCCGGAGGGGGATGGGTGCTCCGGACACCCCCAGCTGGGATGGGCACCCAGGGAGGACACAGATCCTGAGTACGCCAGGGGTGCTCACAGTACCCTGAGTACCCCACGCTGGACAGGCATCCCGGACACCTTGAGACAGGCTGGGCTCCCTGGACACCCCGGGGTGGGATGGCTCCATGCCTGCACCCCGTGCCCTCTCGCGGTGTGAGCCCACTGCCACGCTCCCAGCACTGTCGCTTCTTCCCCGGCAGTGCCCCATAGGTGGCTGATTGGTGCACAGGTCTTTCCAGGCAGAGTTGCCCCGGGAAAGCAAGGGACAAGTCGGAGGAGTTGGACCACCAGAGAATCCCCAAGTGTTTATCGGTGAATGAAGGCTTTGCTTTGGTGTTTATTCTGGGTGCCCCAGGAATGTGTGTGCGTGAGACTTCAGTCCTGTTTGTTTGGAGGAGGGCAGGCAGTATTTGGGGCTCCTTGTCCACCACATGTGGCTGTTCTGTTCCTCACAAGGATGAAATCCCTTTTCTGAAATCCTGGGGACCTGTTGGGACCAAATGGGATGGGGGTGACTTCTGTTATGTGAATAGGAGAGGCTACCTAAGGTTTCTTCTGTCCCTGCCCTTTTTAACCCCCTTTTGCCATAAGCTGGGAGGGTGGTAGCAGAAAGTAACCCATCGTTCATGAAAGGGATTTGCTTGGGCAGCAGGACACACCATGTGTGTGCAACACCACCTGGGTACCCCTTCACTAAGCTCATTTTCACAGCCAAAGGCAGTGGATGATGGGGGGTAGCGGATGTCAGACATCTCTCTGTAAGCAGGGAATGAGAGAAGGTGGCTGCTCCCACAGCCATTTCAGATCATAACTTGTTGCAGCTTCCCTTGTGTGTTGCAGAATTTGCAGCCACCGGCGTCGAAAGTATGGATGGTGCTGTTCACCCTCATTGTTACTGAGCTTTTGGATACTTCTTTGGCATAGTCTAGGGGAGTGGAAATGGTTAATGATGAGCTGAGGAACTGGTTGTTATACTGAAGGATTTTCTGATACTTGCATTATTCTCCTGTTACGACTCTCTACTCCCTTCGTCTGTACTTGGATGATTTGGAACAGTTGTGCGAGCTGAGGGTGATTATATCATGTCTGTTTTAACGGCCATACACGGAGACGTTAGGAATGCTTACTGCTCTGTCATGGGCAAAGTCAGTCAGAAACTCAGCTCAGGCAATGGCTCTGCTTAAAATTACACTTGCAAGGAGGGAGATGCTGAACCCTAACCAGTGAACCATCATCCTCTATCAATGCAAACATGAAGGCACATGCAATGCTGTAGTTGTTGGTATGCAATTGTAAACTGCCAGGGAGGATTTGTCTCTTTAAGAATCATGCTGTCAGCTGGAAGTCTTTATGGAGCAACCTTAAGCAGATAAGAATTTATAAACTGGAGCCAGAAGGGACACTGCTACTTAATCCATTATCAGTGGCTTATATGAGATTTGAAGATGCTCTGTATGAATCACATGATGTTGGGGGGGGGGGGAAGGGTGGGAATTATGTGTTAATGACACTCTGTTTCTTTATTTCTTCCTTTAATTTCCATTTTTACTAAATTTCTACCTGTGCTGAGGCAGCAAGCAGAAATGTTTTCAAGACTGTAATGTAGCAGAGTACTGAAATAATTTTTATTTGGAATAAAGACTGAACAAGGGATTGCCATTGTTGTAAAAACCAAACAACTGCCAGGGACAATATGTGCCTTTTCTGTCTTTTTTTTGAAACCAGACTGCCTCAGGTCCTACATTTAAATGTGGAATAAACAAGTCTGATTGCATTTGACAGGTTTCTGTAAAATGGACTCGAGGCATAGCAGTGAAAGTATGAATGTCACACAGCTTTGTTATATATCTGCCATTTAACATTTTATAAAGTGGTTGAAGGTCCTCAGTTGTTCTTCCTTCAGTGTCTGGCTCAACGTTAGGGATACTGAAATTTGATGAGTTGGCCACCATCTTTCTTCTGTGAAGACCTCTTCCTACCTTGGTGCCAATGGGTGATTTGGGCTCATTCTTGCTAAAGAAAGAGCTATGATTGTGTTGTTTCCTAGGCTGGTCTGGGGACTTGGAATTGAATCCCTGAACCTTACAAGTTCATCTTTGCTATGTAAGAAGTAAGACCTCTGTACGTGGTAGAGTTGTTGCCCACACGTGAGTAAAATTTTTATGCCTTTCTGTGAGTCCCACTAAAAATGGTCACCTTTAGTTACATAAATCTTCTCAAGACCATGTGATACTTTTGGTGGTGTTAAAGGCATAACACAGAAATCTCAGAAAAGCTGACATGGCTGGCAGAATACTTGCTTTGCTTTTGATGGTCATGCATAAGGAGGAAAGCTCCCAGCTTGTTTCTCAGACTTCAGCTGCAGTTTTAAAAACAGGTAATTGAAATGGGCAGGTCTTTTCTGAAGATTCCTGCAAGAGTAAACCTGGAACCCTGGGCTGATTGATGATTTTAGAATTGCTTTTTGAGTAGGACAGTACTTTAAAATCTGTTATGCAGATGCAAGCACTTTGGAATTACTTACTCCAAAGCAGTATATCATGTCTATGTTGTCATTCCAGATTTTGGTGCCACAGTTGTGCCTGCAGGCTTTGGCTGGTTTGTAGTCAGTCAGTGGAAATCCTCCAGGACCACAGCTGATCAGATGCCGTGGTTCTGTTGGAGCCGTTAAACCTAAAGTCCTGGACAGTGGCTGAAAGGAGGTTATCACTTTGTGATATCATGATGGGGAGGTTGAGGTGAGATTATTTTCAGCATTCCTGTATTTCCCTTCCCATAACCCAGATGTGGCTGTTTGTCAGGGGTGACAGAAGGTGATCCTTTGTGTACTTTCCTAATGCTGAGCAAAAGATCATGATTATCTGGTAACAATCTCCTTAATGATGCAGCCAGATAAACTCCAGGAAATTTTTGCTGTCCACCCTCTCTGATATATGGTTTGTGATAACTATCAAACAAGGTGTGTATGGCTGTTTGGAGTGGAACCAAGTGGGAAAACTCCAGCAGTATCTAATCTCCTGTATTCTGAGATGAAAAAGATCGACCTTCGCACCCGTGGCTCTGTGTACTGTTTATTTACTTGTGTCAGGGCAGTTTGGCTTGAAATGTTCCATCAAAGGAGACTTCTATTATTTCTCAGGACATACATCCCTGGTTCAACCCATCTTCCTGCCCCAAGGTTCTTGCAGGATGGTCTATTCACTCTCCTCTCTTAACCCTCCTTTCTAATCCTGGTTTAGCTCGGTAAGTTCCCCTCCTTGCCTGGTGTTACCTCTTCCCAGTCTCTGGCTGTTGCTGAGTGCTGCTCAGTCTTACTGGATGTTTAACCTTTCCTACTGTGATGTGTGGGCTGTGTACTCTTTTAAGGCTGTTGTGTAGTTCCCAGATTTGCTGGTCCAGGATAATAGAAATGCAGTTTTTGCTAGCTCTTGGGTCAGAAGTGAGACACAGGACCTTAATGCCATCTCCCATGTTCCGTGGACAAGTGGCTTTTTGTCCTCACTTGTCTCCATGTCCTCAGCATCAAGAAGTCTTAGCCATTCCTGTAGACAGCAGATCGATATTACATTGTAAAAGCTAAGAAGTATTACTGTCTCCTTTCTTAAATCCTTTCCTCTAGCCTCCTACTCAGGTTAGTGCTCTTTCCTGAGCCGCCTCTTGCCTTGGGAGGTAGATTTCCATGGTGAGTGGCAGCAAGCAGGATTTCTTCCTGTTGATTTTCTCCCAGGTTAATGTACCTTATGATACTTATACAAAAGAATGCATGCACAATATTACAGAAACAGCCCGAGCTGTCAGGGATTCTCTTCTCAACAGTGGGTGATTACTCATGGGTTATTACTTTTTATTTGCATTACAGTGGCATCTGGAGGCTCCTGTCAAGGTCTGAGTCATGTTGTGCTGGGTGCTTCCATGGCTGCCTGTACTTACTGCTCATTCATACAGAGAGCTTTTACTCACGTGTCTGGGTGATCTCTCTGGGATGATTTGAGGTTTATATGTCCAGAGTATCACATGAAGTAGACTGGTACCTTGTCAGGACAGTTCCTAGTCCATTCTTTTGATAGGAAACCTGAAGTCAGAGTCAGCAGTGATCTGGTGAAGGGAGTTGCACCTTTCTGGCTGTGAGCCCCCAGAAAGGCAGCATGTTGTGCAGCACTTTACCAGGAAGGCAGAGGCTTTCCTGCTTTCCCTGGCCCCTGCAGGGTACCAGTCACGATTTTACAGTCTTTGCCTGCATTTTTGCAGTTACTGTTCCAAACATTATATCCCATTGACACATAAGTATGTCAGACTTTTTTCTCCTTTCATCGGTGTTTTATGAGCTTGTGAAATGCATGCAGAAGATGGTAATCTGGCTGGTGTAGGCATTTCAATAATTGTATATCACTGAAAGACTGTCCTGCTACCGGCTCCATTTTGTGCACTCACTAGATGGACTAAGGGGGCAGTAAAAAGCCATCAGCAGCTGATGGTCATGGTACTTAGAAGTTGGGGTGCAAGCAGTGCACTGGGGGAATACCAGTAGTGACGCTGTGAGATAATCTCAGCTCCCACTGCTATCATAATCGGTTCTTGGTTGAAGTACTGTTTCATTTTCTTCCAGCCTTATGGAGTCAGAAGTTTCATCATTCAAGGCTTTGAAGGATGCCTCCTGCTTTCTGCCCTTCTGCTTTCATTCTGTCTTGGGTCATGATGGATTTTCCTCTGACCTGCCAGTGTGTCTGGGTTATAGGTATAAAGTTTTTCCTGCCTGAGGTTCTCGGGTTTACACAGCCCTCTCCCAAGCACTAGATTTTTTCCCTAGCTACTGAACTTTGATTTATTGCATT